GGAAGCAGTCAGCAAGATTTTTATTAGTTTTAGTTCCTAATGCAATAAATACGTATAGTTCGTATAGTATGTATGTATAGTACAGCAAATGGAAGAAGTCATGTGCCTTAAAAAAAACACACAGAGAAATCCAGCTAAAATTGACTAATAGTTACCTGAATTTGTTCACAAGCTGGATGATCAACATTATAGATAAATTAAGATCTGAGTATGTATTTTTTAAACTTCTTTAGAAACAAGATTTGTTTTGTTTCTGTTTCTAGGAAATGACTATACCATGGTGCTTAAAGAGAGCAGAACTTGTGTTTAAGTGTGTCAAAGGTGAGCATAACCTTATATTTAACAATGACCTATATATCTTCCTCCCAAATACTCAAAATAGAGCAACCCAGGAGGGCAATTGTGAACGTTTCTCATCGTCGGATGCCTCAATTAAATGGTTTATTAAGCAAATATTTCATAGCAGACTTTTTTTTACTTATCCTTTCCTAGACACAAATATTCAGCCCTCTTCAAGTACAAGATATTTTGATATTATTTATATTTTGCTCCGATTATAGCTTGTTCTTCATTGTCTTTTAATCTTTAAAAAAATAGAGCCATATGTTTAGCCTTCGATAACTTATTTTGCTTTTATTATATGGAGACAGAAAAGGACTTGAGAAATCATAAGTAAGTGTGTTGACAGAGCGACGTTAAACATGTCTGGCATGGCGAATTCAGGGTGCAGATGTTTATCTGCCCTGTAGGCTGAGCCTCTCTTGCAGTAAATGACTACATAAAAAGTCAAGACATGAAGCCCCACAATGAAAATTTCATATATTTCGATGAAGGGCTAGGTAGGCTTGAAGCAGAACTCATAATTCAGCAAAGTCTATTGTTCTGTTTTAGGTTTCATGATGGAAATGGCTTCATGGGATGGAGGAATTTCTAGGACAGTGCAATTTCTGGTACCACAGGTGTGTTATCTCAATATATCTCACCCCAATTTAATCTCTTTTACAGTATTTTTCACAGATACAGTGAGCACACTGCCCTAAACTCAATATAACACAACAAAATGCTAACAGCTTCCTCTTTTTTAAGTGTTTGGATGCCAAAAAGGCACTTAGTTTATTGTCAGTGATGTTAGCATCTACCATTCCGGGGATCTTTTTATTTAACCCCAAAACCAAACTTGACTTATTTGCCCCTTTTCCCCACATATGTGTTATATAGATTTGGAAGAGCTCATAGATAAGGGCATCAGCAGAGTGGCTCTGTATTCTGTGTGGCCCTTAGCGAATCAGTGGCACTTTTAAAATTGATTATACTAGTGTCATCTAGGGTCTTTCTGGTAATCAGACCTTATTTGATAGGAACAACATATGTTCTCAGAGGATGGAGCGAGGAAAACACTCCAGTCCTTAGCTGTGCAGTTAAATCAGTCATGAAAGATAATTTTTACATACTGCACTCTATGTCTAGAACTAGTTTCATAATTTAAAATATTTTAAATGTTTAAAAAATCAGTTATGATTTAACAAATACAAACTTTTTTTTAACCTCCTACAGAGTATTTCTGAAGAAATGTTTTACCAACTTAGTAACATGCTTCCCCAGATCTTCCGAGTATCATCAACACTTACTCTGACATCCAAGCACTAAACCCTTATATATCACCCTGCTGGCAGAAGAGGATTGTTAACCTTTCCAGGAACTTGAGCTCTGCTGGGATTCTCTCAAGCAAAGATGCCCAGAAAGAGAACTTGCGACCCAAGCCACAAATCAAATCATGATAGATGTCTGTTAAACATTCCAAAGACTCATCTACCGTACAGGCTGATGATCAGCCCCTGATGTATACATTTATTGTTAAAGTCTCTATGAAAAAAAAAAAAGTCTTTTCCTATTGTCGGATCCTATCTGTGAATCTTAGTAGGTTTAAACTTCCTATATCTCGTGCAAGGACACTTGATGTAGGAGAGTGTTCACTGCATTTTCATAAAGACATTTGTCTTTTCCCAAAGGTATGAATCATATCAGGTACAAGACTTAATTAAGCATACAAATAAAATCTTTCCTCTATCTTATTTGCCAAGTGAAAATTAAAAAGCACTGAAATATACATTACACATTTGGACGTCTTGTGAAAATCTTTTTTTGTCGAAACACAAATATATGAGACATAGACTTTTTAAAATTCTTCTATTTCAAAAACTTGTTTTGAATGTACTCTTACTAAGGTTTTATAAGTTCAGAGTCAGAAAAAGATATTGGATTCTTTTCCTCTATCTCATCTTCCTTATGTGACTTGCCCTTGTCTGTTAGTAACATTTCGTGAGCTGGGAAAATAGTGTGCTTATTTGCAAGCCCAGTGGAAAGTTATTCTAAACCAGCACCTGGTAGTATTATAATGCCCATCAATACTGACAGTCAGACAATGAGGATCATTTTTATTTCTCCATCCTGTTGTCTGCATTCTCAGCGTCTTTAACCATTCTTCTACTTGCAGTTTTTTGCTGATATGGTGTCCCTATTTCTATCTTTGCTCTGTTTCCTCTCCTTCTCCATTGTTTTTCTTTGTAGAAATACTTTTTCAAGTGCTGCATATCGCTTATGTATCCTACCTGTAACATTTGCAATGAGCACTCACTACACTGACCAAAGGCATTTACAAAAGCAATCGTTTTGTCAAATTCAAATTGTATGGATGTTGTAAATGGCCAATGGAATGATATGGAGGACCTTTGACATGATAAAATGGTATATTTTGATTCCAAGAGACAAAAAGCACTTGATTAGTATGCCTACATATAATAACTTGGAGAAACTCTTGGCATACAGAATGCTTCGCCACACCATGGAATGTGTCTTGATTTTCTACTCAAGGAAATGACTGTCCAAGTAACCACACTAAGGAGTTTATCCACTCCAGACTGTGTCCATTACAAACTAACACTTTCCAAATCAATCCTTTTTCAAGGAACCTGGTGATCCCACCAGGAAAAGGGTAGGTAGGTATTCTACCCTTAGAGCAAGAAACTCTTCCAGACACTACTGTTACCATTAAGACAGATTCTAATGCAAAGCAAAGTAGAAGTAGAAATTAGGGGTGTGCTCTAGCAGTGTCAGAGACTGTATGAGTTCATAATGTGACAGGTCAGGTTGGAGGCGGGTATAGGAGGGTCAGTCAATAAAAGGCATTCAAAAAGGCATTGAGACTGCACAGAATTTCTGTAAGTGTATAGCCAACATCTTAAAGGGTGCATCCAGGGTCAGGGTGTGGGAGTGAGGGTTCATTCGCAGAAACTTGGTGAATGCAGCTGCCCAACCCTTTCTTTGTCTCATCAGGGCTGTTTTATTAAATTATAAAGTGGTAGCTTTCACTCCAGGGCAACTTGAAGTTTATATTTGGCCTATGAATGAAGATGAATTTAAGTACTCATTATTCATATGGCAAGATTAGAATAATACTTATGTTACATCACTGATATGAAGACACACCAAACACTAAGTTAGCAACATTATATAATATAAGTTTCTATGCACATTTAAATAGTGGGGGTTTTAGTGAAGCAGATGAGGAAGTCTGGAGTTCTGTATTTGGACTAGGAAGGATGAGATTATGGCCTTCTGAGTGTTCTAGAGGGCTGCTTAGAAGAGAGTGGTTCAGGAACTTCATGAATGATGTGAAGAAGGAAATTTAGTAGACTGAGACTAGGCCATTCTAGGTATGAGGAGCAGACATAGAATGAAGGGAGGCAGTGATAAATGGTCAGATGTTGAGAGAAGCTGACCACAGGAGCCTTTTGGGGATGGGGATGGGGTTAGAGGGCCTGGGCCTTAGCACAAATAATGGTGAAGTCTCTCAGCGAGCATGAATTTTTCTATTGTGTAAACAATTAAATATTCTGAAAACAATGACCATCTGCTCCTCAAGGCCTTCAAAATATGTTTGGGGAATCAAGCAGGAGCATTGAGCCTCAGGTCTCATTCTGCTGCTCTTTCCCCCTCCCCCCATTTCTGTTCTCAAAGCACAAAACCAAGCAAAGCTGTAACCTTGCCATTGATCAAGAAGTGTGGTACCAGGTGTGCTCAGCATGGCACTTATGACTAGAATGGAAGAAATGCATGAAAAAGAATTTCAGCAGAAACAACTTGCCAGGGAATTGGCAGGTCTCAGCTTTCTTTTGTGTCACTTCAGTTGGGTCCTGGCTAATTCTCAGAGGAAGAAAAAAAAATGTTCCACAAAGGAAAGATGAATTTACAGAAATATGCCTGTGCTAGAGGCCCTCTGAGAATCAGCAGAGCTGTGCTGGAAGAATGGACAAAGATAAAGAGTGAACCTCAGGGTAATTTTTAGTTTCTAGATGAAAACAATTGCTTTTCTCTTATTTAGTTTTCCCATTTAAATGAAATTGGACTGCTTTGCTCAAAAGAAATTGTGGCACTGTAAAAATCATTATAATAAAAAAATACAACTATTTAAATGAAATACCATTATTTAGAATCACTTAGATCAATGCTTTTCTATCCTTTACCCATCAAAGAACATTTCCATTATCTTCCTCATATTTTCCTGAAATAGTTTGAAAAGTTAGTAAAGAACTGAAACAATTGAACAATCATTTGAGCAATGGTCTGTTTTTTGTGAAAGACATGTCGATGGAGCTGAGTGATCGATGGTATTAACAGCAGTACATAGTATCACAGAATTATCATTGTAGGGTTCTGGGCAAATTTATAAAAAGAAAACCTTGCCATTTTATTTAACCTGCGAGGTCTCATCCTAATGAAATGAAAAGTCTTTCTGGAAAGACTTTTAAAACAGCTCAATGACATACTTCAGACACCTTTAAGGACCATTAGAAATCCCAAGCTGGGGACCCCAACTTTAGAAATATTTATGTGAGAGTGCGTTACAAAGGAAGGGCCGAGATAAGGACAACATAAGTAGCAGGTTGACCCTGAGGGATCCCATTCAATAAACAGCAAGTGTTTGCCAAGTGTCTTCCAAGATTCGGCCTCTGGAAACCTATGCAAAGGTGATGCTGCTTTAGGAACTATTGGATTAAAGAAAGAATACTTGGCAAGCTTCTCCATGATCTGTGATGCTGTCGATCTCTAATAGCCAGGACATAATCTCAACAAAAGCAGGGGAATGGATGAATAGCCTTCTGAGGTGCCCTGCAGGACTAAGAGGTACTTGTGATGTCCTATTCGATATACAAAATTAAAATTATTGCCTTAACCAGTTTGGCTCAGTGGATAGAGCATCGGCCTGCGGACTGAAGGGTCCCAGGTTCAATTCCAATCAAGGGCATGTACCTTGGTTGTGGGCACATCCCCAGCAGGGGGTGCGCAGGAGGCAGCTGATCGATGTTTCTCTCTCATTGATGTTTCTAACTATCCCTCTCCCTTCCTCTCTGTAAAAAAAATCAATAAAATATATATTAAAAAATTAAAATTATTATAATACACTCCACATCTCTCTTGCTGGTTTTCCCCCCTGTGAGAAAACAGGGTTCGTGATATGTTAAAATTCAAGATATATCGGGCTTTGTGATAGATCCATATCTAAGGCTTGCCAAACTTTAGTCTCTGTATAGTCAATCCTCATTAATCATGGACTCTGTACATTCAAATTCCCCTCCTTGCTAAAATTTATTTGCAACTACAAAATTACTCAACTAAGTCATTTATAAAAGCACATAGTCATCTACAGAAGCAATAGTTTCATCAGATCCTAGTTGCGTGGATGTTGTAACTGGTCCACAGAATGAATTGGAAGACCTTTGACAGCACTTAGGCATCATCTAAGGACATGCGCAGAGCAGTGAAAAAACTGAGTCGCTCAACACACATTCCCAGCTGAGAGGAGCAAGGTGACCTTCTTCAGCTCTCCGAACATTAGATGTCCTTCTCACAGTCTATTTGCTGCCACATATTTCACATTTTTGTGCTTTTTGGTGATTTTGTTATTTTAAATGGCCCCCAAGCGTAGTGCTGAAGTGCAGTCCAGTGCCCTAAGTGCAAGAAGGCTGTGAGGCGCCTCACGGCGAAGACACGTCTTAGTTCAGCTTTGTCCGGGCATGAGTTGTGCTACTCAACAATCTGTTAAATAAGGTGTCTTTAAACAGAAACAACGCATAACAAAGGTTCTACAGATTGGCTGGTGAGCTGTGATGAGAGGCTTGCAGGAACCTAGCCCTATATTTCTCCTGGGAGTAATGGTTCAGGATTTGCTAATTCAGTGTTCACAGCACAAGAATCAACTGTGTGTGTGTGTCTTCTCTCGCAGGTGAGAGTGCATAGATAGCTCTCTGGACACATTTGGCACATGGAGAATGAAACCTGGAACACATGACCAGAGAAGCAAACAGGTCCTTCCTGGAGATGTTTAAGAATTAAGCAGAAACCGTGCTGACACAGGTTAGGTCTGACTTCTGCAGGGGGAGAATGTATTGGTGGGTCTCTCCCTCCCTCTTTAATTCTCCTACTTTCTATCCTTCCCTCCTTTTTCTTTATAATGAATTCTGGTTTCTTGTTATCAGAAAATCTAGGGGTCCTCAAACTTTTTAAACAGGGGGCCAGTTCACTGTCCCTCAGACTGTTGGAGGGCCGGACTATAGTTTAAAAAAAAAAACTATGAACAAACTCCTATGCACACTACACATATCTTATTTTGAAGTAAAAAAACAAAATGGGAACAAATATAATATTTGTATTTGCATGTGGCCGGAAGGCCGTAGTTTGAGGACCCCTGAGCAAATCTGTTCTAAAAACTCTACTCGGAGCAACAGTATAGCATCAGAGGGGAGCAGAGTCCCTAAGATTAGACAAACCTGGTTCAAGTGTGGACAGCCTGCTTTACTCACTGTGGCCTGTCACATTGGGCATATTACTTAACCCTCATAAGCATGTTTCCTCATCTGTAAGCTAGGAAAACTAGTAATAGTATCTACCTCACTGAGTAGTTGGAAGGATTAAATAAAGTGCACACTAGCTGGCATATCGTCATTCTATAAATATTTGCCACTATCCATTCTCCTTCCTTTCCCTCATTGCTTCCTGTCTCCCCTTCCTTTCTTCCTTCCTGTCTGACCTTTCTCTTTCTTTCCTTCCTTCCTTTCA